CTCCATGTATATATACACACAAACACATGTATATATACACATATGTGTTTATATATAGCTATACATATATATGTCTATAGATATATAGACACATATATAGACACACATGTGGGATTCCCAGGTGGCACAGTGGTAAAGAGTCCACCTGTCAATGCAGGAGAAGCAAGAGGGGTGGATTTGATCCCTGGGTCGAAAAGATCCTCTGAAGTATGGAATGGCAACCCACTCCAGTACTCTTGCCTGGAAAATTCCAGGGACAGAAGAGCCTGGTGGGCTAAAGTCCATGGGGTCGCAAACAACTGAGCGACTGAGCACGCACACACACACACACACACACACACACACGTGTGTGTATATATATACACATACACACATATGTAGACCTATGTGTATGTGTTGTAAGATTTTTGTGCATATTGAATTTTCAAGGAATTAACAACATAAAATCTGATAGAGGGTTGTGCATGCATGCATGCTTCAGTCATGTACAACTCTTTGCCACCCTATGGACTGTACTTTGCCAGGCTCCTCTATCCATGGAGATTCTCCAGGTAAGAACACTAGAGTGGGTTTCCATGCCCTCCTCCAGGGGATCTTCCCAACCCAGGGATCGAACCTGCATCTCTTAGTATCCTGCGTTGGCAGGCGGGTTCTTTACCACTAGTGCTATCTGGGAAGCCTGAAAGAGGGTTGTATTTTGTTTAAAACTTTAGCGAGGTTTGTTCACCATTTCAAAAAATCACAGCCCAAAACCAACACCAATTATGGTTTTGAACCCCATGTGCTCTCGTCTGTTTTTCATGGTCTGTTCATGACAGTTCTCCATAAAGATGCTAATGTAGCATTACTTCATTAAATCTTCCAGTGAAGCTTATTTCATTATAAATCACTTTCTTTTTATTTCTCCTTCATAGTATAGTTATGCCAGTATATTGATTTGAAAAAATTCTGTATGTAGGTAAAAATATAAGCACTCTCAATTTCATTTCAGGAGAGCCAGGGAGTTGTTACAAAGGATTTATTTAATAAGTGCATGGAAGAAGTCTGATCTGATGGAGAACTACTATTCCACAAGGTAAGATACACAGATACACCGATAATGTTGGCATCTCTGCTCCATAGTAACAACATCAGGGGCAGCCAGGCATCATTAGGCAAGACTTTGAATAATGTAAACGTAATTTTTTTTTTTTAATAAAAGTACTCTTTCTCTGCAATATACTTCACCATCCTCTTTTTCCTGGGCTGCAAAGAAATGACTCAGGTTGAATGAAGTACTTCCGGTCAACGAGATACTGAAGGTAATGCTTCTCACAGAAAGCCTTCGTGGAAAGGGAACATGCAGACAGGGGGGCTGAGGTTTGCTTAGAGCAAGACCCAGATGGCAAGTGAGTGGATAGGAGGATAAGAATATTTGAGCGTGTTTAGTGCCCCTTTGAGAGACTCTGCAGTACCTCTCCTTCTAAATTGTGTAGATAAAACATCTGTCCCAGAATGCCTTCTTCCCTGACCAGTGGAATCTGACAACTGTGGCTTTAACCTAAGAAGTAAAATGAAAGGCCAGATTGAAATTAGGAATTGTGCTGAGGGTTTATGGGTGATAGAGGCCAGAGAGGTTGTTGGAGACAGAATTACAGGACTGCTGCGGAGTATACATCAGATTCTCCTAGAAACTTTAGAGTTACCATTCTCTTAAACAAACCAAAAAGCTAGACAGATACACTCGACCACTGAGGGAGGGGAAGGAAACCAAAATAAACATAAGGAGGACCAATGTATCAGGCAGTTGTCCTGAAAAAAGAAAAATTTACTACCTCCAAATGCTTCACCCCATCCCCCACCCCCAGTCCTAGTATCTTAACATTAATTTAGACCTTAGCTTTGAGAAGGCCAGTGGCTAGTTCTAGAGCTCCTTGATGGGACGTTTCAGCCACCAGTGAAAAATCTAAGACTAGACTAGGATGTTCCCAAAGCATCAGGAGGCTCCTTGAGCAACCATGAAAGAAATGACTTGGTGATGTAACCACCTCACCTTGCAGAGCAGGCCTCTAACTACATGAGTAAGCATTTCAGAAAGCCCGTGACTATGGCATTAGTCCTAATGACCACACCGTCTCAGTGCTAGCCTGCCAGCATCTCCTCTGCTGTCCCAAAAAGCATCTAGAATTCTAGTTTGCCTCACAATTTTATCTTCTTCCACTTCTTAATTTCAGGATGCCTTGATTTTATCTCCAAATATGAAACATTTGGAATGTATAATGAGAATAATAAACATCCTATTGTTCCTGCAAGGTAACAGTTGGTGGCCATCTCTCCCCCATCTCTGAGCGTCATCAGCACTTCGTTTACATAATTCACTTGGGCCTAGAATGTCGACTAGAGGCTCGTGTTAATGTGGAATAGGAACTCCATATTATGTGTGGCTATCTTGCATGTGTGCATATTATTCTATTTTATAGAAAACTAAAACACAAGAGAGATATAAATTGCCCACCATCTTTTATCAAGTAAAATACCGGTATTTGAATTTCGATCCCAAATAACCAAACTCATAACCACTGCACAGCAGCTGCCTTTATAAGGTCTTGGAAGGCAGGATCTTTTATATTCCCAAGTCACCTCGTACTTCCCCTTTTGTTATTCTCATTACACATTCCAGTATCTGCTTTCTCCATTTTGCTGTGTGGTCCATGAGGACAGAAATGGTGGCCATGTTTTCCATTCTATGTCTAGTATCCAGTGGCCTGCAGGGTACAAAGGACTAAATAGCTGTAATGCTTCCAATTCTTAGCACTACCTCTTGGTATTTATGAAAGGGCATCTGGACTCTTCATGTGTAACTACAAAGTATCTTTTCTCAATTATTTATAAAATAAAATCAATCTCAGAAGCTACAGATGGGAAAGGGAACGCATTCCTACTTAAAGTATTTACTAGGTTCAAGACACAATAAAAGGTTTCTCTTTTGGTAATGCTGTAACATCTGCAGTTAGTATTATCTACATACATATCTACATCCTTATACAGACCAGATATCAAAACATGTGTCTACTTATTATTTTGGAACACTTAGAATACTGGAATGGGTAGCCATTCCCTTCTCCAGGGAATCTTCCTGACCCAGGGATCAAAACCAGGTCTCCTGCATTGCAAACAGATTCTTTACCATCTGAGCCATCATGGAAGCCCATTATTAGGTATACATATTATTTAATGGAAATTCTGAAATTTAAAAGTTACTGATAATATGTTTATTATTAATCAAATCTTTGAAGCATACAAAAGGCTAGGAAGAATAAAGTGTCCCCATATTAATAGCAGAATTATTTATACTAGCCAAAACCTAGAATGTTTAAGTCACTTGTGGTGTAGCCATGTAATGGAATATTATACAGCACTGAAAATGGATGGGCATTTATACATCCAATACTGGAGATGATCTCATAGTAGAACTTTAAGTGATAGCAGCCAGACACAAAAAAGTACATAAAGTTCATTTACTCATGGATGGCATTGTAAGTCAGAATGTTGATTCCTCTGGCCATGACTGTTGTGGTGATAGGGAGGAAGCCCAGGAAGCTTCTGGGGTGCTGGTAATGTGGTGGTGTCTGAGCTGGGTGCTGGCTTACAAGTATTCACTTTGGGAAACTTAATTAGGTTCTTATGATTTGTGCAGCTCTTTGTATGTGTCCTTTTTAAATGTATGAATTCTTTGTATGAATCCTTTTTAAATAAGGATTCACTTTTTAAAAAGTTCTCCATATTAGTGAAGTTATATTTATAATATATAAATTATATAAATGCGTATGTATATATATATATAAATGTGGGTAAATATATATAAATGTGGGTATATAAATACCCACATATGCACAAATATATATATACACATATATGTATACATAGTACATATACATAAGATTAGCTTCCTTAAGTATGACCTCTCATTAATCTACCTTTCCTTTAGTGACTTTGCTGTTTATTTACTTATTTATGTGTGTGTATCCCAGGATCTAATTGGAGGACTTCCTAGTCTTCCATTCACTCTGAGTGGGTTGGACATTCACATTCAAGAAGTTACTGCAACAACTTTCAAAACACATATGTGGCTTAAATATGGATTTTCCTGTCCTTTCATGAGTATCTGATTCATATCTCAATGCAGTCTACATTTTAGTGACATAAAGGAAATAAGTCATTGGTCATAGAATAATCTACATAGAAATCTTATTAACTTGATTGGTCAAACTGTAAATTTAAGTAAAATAAGCTAAAAATTACAGACATTCCTTTCTTTTCCAAATTTCCTTTCTTTTTCCAAAATTAAAATAACTTTTAGCCCCATTGAGTGCAGAACCTCAATTATTTAAATCTATTTCATAACCTAATTAACATTATCTCACCAGTATTTTCCACATTACATTAAAAATGTTATTAAAATGTCAAATTGCACAATAAGAAATATGTGTGTATGTATGATCTTTTCTCTGGTGCCAATTATTCAAAATTTCCTATAATATTTGCTTAAGTGGCTAATAAGCCTAATGATGTCATACTCACTGCATCCAAATTTTATTCTAATTAAAGCAGTTTTAAGAATTATTATTCTTAGTATTAAGAATAATCTCCCAAATAACTTTGATACTATTATTACCGCTAATAATAATAATAATAAGGATGCCCAAGTTAAGCAAAGATGGTATGGAGCCATCTGAGATGAAGAAAGCCAATAAATAAAACGGATAAAAAATCATTCCAGTAAAAATGGTCCAGAGCTCTTCATAAACCCAGCAGGAACTTTCCAGTGCGAAGGGACACCCTAGGAGACGCACAATCAGCTTGAAAGAGGTCTCCTGTTCCTGACCCCAGATCTCTCCTGGGAAAGGGAGCAAGTTGAGCCTTGTCCCCACCAGCCCGCGGGCAGGTCGGGAGACCAGGAGGCGAGCAGCCTCCGCTGGCGTCCAGAGCACCGCTGTCGGCGTCCCGGGCCAGGAACTTACCACGAGCGCGCAGCACAGCAACTTGTTCATTGTGGTCCCCGGGAAACCTCAGGCGCTGGGAGGCGGCGGCTGCGGGGCGAGCGCTACGGTGCGTCTCGGCTGCCCGTGCACTCATCACTTTATATATAGTGTCCCGGCAACAGGAAGTATCGGCTTGCCTTTGATCATTCATTCCCTATCTGGACCAAACTTTGCACCTTTCTTTTTTAGGAACCTTGGGTGGGAGTCGGGCGGGGGGTTGGGGAGGGGGGGGGGACGGACGGGAGGGGGAGGTGCGAAACGCTCCAGGGTTAACACTTTCAGAGCCAGGGCGGAAAGAAGTGGCACGAGAGGTGGGAGTAGGGGGTGGGGCGGGGATGTCTGGCCCCTGGGAGGCGAAAAAAAAAAAAAAAAAGCTGCAGAACAAGGCAGCTGCTGTCTCCGTGCGGCTCTGAGGTTTCCTGGCCCCTTCCCGCCAGCGGCCGGCCTCCTGGCAGCCGCGACCGGTGGTGGGAGGACCGGGCGCACGCTGGGCCGTCGCTGTGCCTGGCTCCTCCACCCTGAGCGTCGGGTCCAGCCAAGATCTCGGCGCAGCCTGCAGTGCGCCCCAGACACTACACCCCACTCTCATCTGACCTTCTCAGGGGTTCTGAGATCCCCAATAACGAGTATTCTCATTCACGCGCTGCGCTCAGAGGCTCTTCTGGGAGTTTGCAGTCATTAATCTACAAGGCTGCACAGATGGAGAAGAAATTTCTCTAACTTATGTCTGGTTCGAAAGCCAATGCCTTTTCCCATTCACTTTTTGTTGCCTGGGGTAGTTCAGCCAGAGAGAATCAGCAGAGGACAAACTTCTTGCCCAGGGCAGAAAAAACAGGATTCGCCGCTATACTGAACTGAACTGAACTGATAGTCTTTACAGCACCATCATCATCCAAAGGTTATTGGTACCTACTAAACTTCTGAAATTGCCTCTTCCAGGTCTTTCCATTGCCCCCAAACTTTTGGTGGAAGTTGGCTCTGCCTAAAGGGTTCTTCGCTCCCCCATCCACTCCCACCAGCTGCTTTTGTGGAGAGTTGGACCCTATGGCTTCTAAAGTGTAGACCCCTTCTGAGGTCCTGCAGTTTGCTGATTTGTTCTTAGGTTGCCACCAGAACTCTTCACTTACAGAGGCTGGGGAAAAAAGATATATCACTGCAAAGCCAGCCTCCCCATCAGGGCCAGGTGCTCAATTCTTGTCTCCTGAGAAGGTCAGTTTCTGCTTTTCACCAGACTTCATGGAGAGGGAGATGAAGGTGATTCTCTCTGGCTCAGACTATACCACGCAACAAAAAGTGGCCCCCAGGAGCAAGCATTGCCAGCAAGGATCAGAGTATCTGCACTTTCAAACCAACATCTTTCCACCAGAAGGTCAAAGTGGATCCATAGACAGAGTAGAAAATATTTAGAGGGAACAAATTCAGCTCTTCCGCTCTGACTGTGAATTATAGAAGACAGAGTGTCTTACTCAGCTTTCTCTATCCACAGCCTGATAGTTTCTTAAGTGAACTAATGAAGAACAAAGGTCAGTGAGTACGGACCAAATGGTTTAACTCCAGCCCTGACCCTCAGCTTCTGAACTTCAGCTTTGACATCCACAGTCTGAGCTCCTAGCACATGGGACTCAGGTTAATTTGAATGTTAGTTGTAAAATACTAAGTAAATGGCAGTATTATTGTCTTTATGAGATAATGCCTACCTGGGATACTACCTGAAGGCATTTCTCTTGAGCTGTCATATAATGCTCACATGCAGGAGTCAAACTTTGGAGAAAACTGATCAAGGACTGAGTCCTGCAGTGTTAACCCTGGGAAAGTGTTTATGACTCTCTCATCTATCAGTTAAAAATAGTAGTTATTACAGAAATGTGGCGTGGAACAAATGAAAGCATTTTTAAAAGTAATGCATAAATTAGATTGGTTATGTGTAAGTGAGATTAATCACTAATCATGAGCAGTCAATAAGTAAATGCATATAAGATAACCCAGCACATTGCCTGGATAGGAAATGTTTACTAAATTATAGCTATGATTGTTCGCAGGGAGTACATATAAGATACCAGGCTTTAAAGCCAGACTGACTCCGAGACTTGAACCCCAGATCTCCTGCACTCTGGCTCTATTACCTCAGGCAGATTTGAACTAACCTATTTGTATTTCTGTTTGTTTCTCTATTGGTATAGTGACGATAAAAATCATACCACCCTCAGAGGGATTAAATCGGCTAAAACGTGTAAAGTGCTCATCGTACTGTTTAATATATAGTAACTGTTCACTAAGTCTAGCTATTATTGTTATACTTATCTGAGGTGCTCTTAGGGACATTTATAGAAGCACTAGGTGAGTCTCGACTCTAAGCTTCTGGGAGCAGGAATCATATATTTTCTTATGATATTTCTTGAAACTTTTAGCTCCATATCTGGCCTCCCTATAACTATTTGATGAATAATGGTAATAGAAGTGGTGGTGGTGGTTGGTATGTGTGTGTGTGTTGGGGGAGGGAGGAGAGGACGTGTAATTAGCTGTCATCTTGAGAAAAGCCAGGGCCCCATTTTTATAGAGTCGCAGAGTAGACAGTGTATTGACTGTGCCTTTCGGGACCGACCGTGAGCTGTTTATTAATCACCCACTGACAGGAAACAGGCACTCTGAGTTTGCAGTCACGTCACTTGTTATATTCCTGGAGCAGCCTGGCCGATGCCCCTGGCTCTTCCCGTGGGACCCACTACAGTGAGCAGCAGGCACTGAACACTTGGAGGCTAGAGTCCATCTTCAGTCTAGATTGGACCGGACCCGGGGATTCAGAACTGAACCCGTGGGGGTGATGTCTGAACACTCATTTGGCAGACAGACTGCATCCATCTTCCCGTGACAGATTCTTCTCTGGCAGGGGCCAAGGGTGACCTGAAACAGAGTGTCTGGTAAATTTAGCCTTCTGTTTCGGGTCCTCAGAGATGTGCTATACTGATTGTAGGTGACATTTCATCAGATAGCCATCATCTTCTCTTCCTTGAACTGTTCTGAGTTTGGTCCCACGTTGAACACATTTCATTGGGCACATTTCTAATTATCCCTGCTTCCATTTCAGCCATTGGTATTTGGCTTAAAGAAATGGTGTCTGAATATTGGGAACCCCCTGGAGAAAAACACTTCCTCTCTTTAACACAGCAGCAAAGCCCCTGATATAGGAGGCCATTTATAATCATCATTATAACAGAAATGCCTGAAACTCAGGACAGGGATTGACTTGGTCCTTTGGGAGACAAGACAAACTGGTGGGTTCTCTAGAGACTGATTGAATACCTAGAACATCTTACACATAAGCTCCCACACATAGAAACTGGAAACACAAGTTCTGAGGTTGTGTATGGGAAAGGTTTTTAGTATAAGAACAAGAACTCATTCCTTGTTGTTTCACTGTTACTAAATCTTTTTCTGGTTTCTTAGGAGATGGAACAGAAAGAGGAGAAATATGTAGTTAGCCTATTGATTTTATTTTATTAACATTTGCCCATTTCTTCATTAACAAACACAATTTTAATTATTAATCTTCTAGACAAAACATTAATTTTAACTATTAATGTTTTATTACTGGACTGGATTGTCATACCCTCCTCCAGGGGATCTTCCCAGCCATGGCAATCAACTCCAGTATTCTTGCTTGGAGAATCCCATGGACAGAGAAGCCTGGTTACAGTCCACAGGGCTACAGTCCACAGGGTTGCAAAGAGTCGGACACAACTGAAGTGACTAAGCACAGCACATTAATGTTTTAAGGCGTTACTGGCTCTGTGTGAAAATGGATATGTACTTGCTTTAAAATTAGTGTGCAAGGGAATTCTGGTCAAAGTTATGTAGCAGCCTGGATGGGAGAGGAATTTGGGGGAGAATGGATGCCTGTATATGTGTGGCTGAGTCCCTCTGCTGTCTAAACAACAACAAATTCTTACTATTAATCTCACCACTTTGTGTGTGTTTGGGGCAAGAAGGAGTACCTAAAATAAGTGACTACTACTCTCTGTAATGCATGTCACGTAGCATTGGAGGGAGCACTTTAAGTGGAAAGTCTGGTCTTTCAAGCTCTGTAAAGAAAGCTACCTCATTTATGATTCAGGGCTCAGCAACTTCTGCTAGCTCTCCAAGAGAAGTGCTAGGTGGGAAATTTGTCTCAGTCAGCTTGGGCTGCCCTATCAAAATACCGCCGACTGTGTGGCTTTACCAGCAGACATTTATTTCTCACAATTTTGGAGACTGAGAGTTTGAGATTGAGGTTGAGGTGAGTTTGAGATTGAGATTGATATTGAGTTTGAGTTTGAGATTACGATGAGTCCTTTTTTTCTGGCTTTCAGGTGATCAGCATCTCGCTGTGTGCAAGCATGACCTTTTCTCTGTGTGTGTTCAGAGGGAGAGAGGTCTCTTTTCCTATTTTTATGAGGTTAGCAGTTCTATAGATTCCACCTTTATGACCTAGTTTAGACTTGTTTCCCTCCTAGAAGCTCCATCTCCAAATAGAGTTGCATTAAGGGTTAGGAGTTCAAGATATGAATTTAAAGAGGAACACAGTTCAATGCATAGCAGCACATTTCTAGTCCCCTCTTTTAGAATGTATAAGCTCATGCTTAATTTTCAAGGGAATTTAGACTTTTGCAGTACTTGCTAGAGTGCTCAATAAATGTCATGAATATAGAACTGTAAAGTCATATTTTTTCTCACCCTCAAGTTTCTTTTTGCCTCCTTTTCTGGATTCTCTTTTTCCTACTCAATTTAAGAAAATAACTTCCATAGTTCAGGCAGTTTCACTTTATGTCTGTATTTCCTTCTGAAACATATCACCTGATTGCAGATTCTGCTTTCCCTGACTGAATGAGGTTGAAAAGATACTAGCAGAGGAAAATTTTGTACATTCTTTGATAAAGATTCTTAAAAGAGGCAATTCCCTGGTGGTCCACTGGCTAAGTCTCCATGCTCCCAATGCAGGGGCCCTGGGTTCGATCCCTGGTCAGGGAACTAGA